GGGGGGGGGGGGGGGGGGGGAGGATCGAAACACAAGCCAACAAGCCAAACACAGATTAATGCATGCTTGCCCCACCACCAGCAGATTAGGCAGGGGAGTTGAAGGGCAGGGAAGACATTAAATCTACACGCCGAGGTATCGGCGGATCACCTATGAGTATAGCATGTTCTAGTATAGTAGAGTAGAGTAGAGTGGAGGTTACAGTAGAGAAAAATATAGTATAGCGTACTTATAATTGTAGGGTAGAGTACAGTATAGTACAGTATTAGTATCGTACAGTATAGTATAGTATAGTATAGTATAGTATAGTATAGTATAGTATAGTATAGTATAGTATGGTATTACAGCACAGTACCGTACAGTTCAGCACAGCACAGCGCAGTACTGTATAGTCTAGTATAGCAGAGTATAGTAGAGAGCCTGGTTCATGCGGGGGGTGGTACTGCACGACACAGGCACGAGCAGGTAAAGGCTCATACCCCTTCGTTGGAGTCGAAACACCGTAGTCGTACAGTGGCGGGAGCGCGGGAGAATCGTGCAATATGGGCCTGAGTTTTACGGTGCCCTTATAGTCCCGATATAACTAAGTTTGCCTCAAGACCCGAGTAACAGTTATGTAGGCCCCTATAACATCCAGAGCAATGTCTGAAGCTCGGAGCCCGGAACCCAACAACGCCCGGACTCCAAACTTCTTGATAATACAGGATGTTCATAACATTTTGCGCATAGGGTCTCAGAGTGTGGAACCGTGTATGGACACCGCTCAGCGTCTTTGTTTGGTTTGGCATGTTTGTTGAGGCTCGTGGAGAATTCTCGGAGCAGGGAGGAGGGACATGGGGTAAGTGCTGCATGCTGTGTCTACAGCCATGAACATGTTAGTGAATATCCGAAAACCCAAAGCTCCACATCCCAAAAGACCTCGGCCCGAAGTTAGAAACCTTACACACCCTAGGCCCCGAAACCCCAAGGCCCTAAGTCTGAGACACTAAACTCAAAGCCCTGGACAACAAACCTTCAATCCCAAACTCCTGGGAAGTAGCCATTACAGGAGCCCTTAGAGAACCCCTTGTACTATACGTGCTAGAAGCCCTAATAGTACTCCGTAGAATAAGGCTGGTAGTACCCCCTTTCCGGACCTGAGAGGAAACCTTGCAAGGAGCCCAGAAACGGAGCCAAAAACTCAAAGCAGCCTGCAGGAAGTGAACCAAGGCTGCGATGGCAAGGCACTCAGCCTTCAGCCTTTTTTCTGTCTCATTGGAGGGGCATGTGAATGTACCGTCTTAGATAAGTCTGGCGTAATCAGACTACAAACCCTCAACCAACCTGACGGAGAAAATCAGCTCTTACTTTCGGGAATGATCTGTTAACACTGACTTGCACGATACCTACTCTAGGCGCATCAACAACATCACTCAAGCTAGTGCATTGTGACCCCAATCGCGACACCCACCTCCCGGGCCAGTATCACAGCCAGCCTCTTCATCATGCCATCAAGACGATCTTCAGCATCGGCCCCACTCTGTTCGACACCACCAGTAACCGCACCTTACCACTGAAAGTACCCATACGTTTACCGAACAAGCCCCAAACTCACCACCATGATGCCGTGGGTCACCGTCGTCAGCATCACGATGAACATCAACATCATCATCAGCATGACCATAATCATAATCATGATCATCAACTTCATCACCGGGAGCAGCAGCAGTCGCAGCAGGGGCAACATCATACCCTCACCAGAATCACAATCATCATCACCATCCTCATCATCGGCGTCTGGTCGCCGTGGTTGCAATGGGTGGTTTGCACTGCAGGTGAGTAGGAGACAGAGTAGGAGCAGTCGTGCCAGCAGCGGCACTAACCGTTGTGGTGTAGTGGTAGTGCTGGTGGTAGTAGTAGTAGTAGTAGTAGCAGCAGCAGCAGCAGCAGTAGTAGTAGCAGTAGTAGTAGTACTACTACTACCCGCTCACAGAGGAATATGCTTCAAACCAGTTCGAAGACCTTTGAACAACTGCAGGTAAGTTTCTTTCTGAAGCAGGAATTATCGAGCTTAAGCCTGTAACCCCTAAGCCCTCTAAACCTAGCCTCAGGCCCCTACAGCCGAAACCGAAAGACCCTACAGCCGAAACCTGTGTATCCATCAGAAACTCACGAGCTTTTATGCACACCTGTCACAATCAGAATGAAACAATGTGAAAAGTTCTGAACAATAACCAAAAGCAAAGCTCCCGATGCTCTCCCAGGCCCCCCTGCATCGGCATCCGCTGCAGTTTCCGAGGCTGAGAGCACCCACCCCTCCAGTCCCCACAGGTTCTCCCCCAGATCCCCAAAAGCCCCTTGATGGTTCAGGGCTTGGAGCCGGCATAAAAGTCTGGCAACCCCTTCAAAGCCCTTAGTGCCCTCAACAACAGGACATGAAAAACTTTCTAGGACTGCTTTGAAGATCCTAGCCTCTGGAGGACCTCGGCCCACACCCTTTCAGCACTACACAGCACACCCCTCGAAAACCCAACCCTGCCTTGACAGGAGCTTACCTTCTTCCCAGGGGCTTTTCTCAAAAGGGAGGGTCCCTAAGGCGAGGGCTTCTTGTTTTCGGAGCCTCGCATGTCCTGTGGCCTTGAAGGGATGTCCGAAACTTCTCCGTCGGTGATCCGCGCTCCCAGTTCAAGTATGCTGGCGCCCTGGGAGTAGACTTTTGATTTTCGGGCTAGCTCCTTGGGATTCAAGCCGGACAGTCGGAAACTCACATTGAGCTTCAGCGGTTGGAAAGGCAAGCTGTCAAGCTGGCTCAGACAAGCAAGGAGCATGCATGCCGAATTGGAGCCATCTGTGCACATAGCTGGTGCCAGCGAGTCTAGAAATGTCAGCTTCTGGTCAGGCAAAGACGCAACCTGAAGAGGTAGCGCTTCCCAAAGCCTGACCAACCTTTTCAGTGGCAGTGGGCTATGCTTGTTTAAGTTGCTAATGACGATTTGCAACACGAAAAGCAGCGGATCCTCAGTCATTGTAGTTTGCGCTTGGTCAAATATCTTGAGACGCTGAATGGCTGCAACCTCAGCGCTTTCATTCACAGACACTAAACTACACCCAACCCTTGAAATATTCATGGGAACCGCTTCTATAAGAAGGATCCACTAGATTGCTTTGTTCAGACAAAGGTCGTGGGCCGTCTTCAGCGCTTTCGTTGGCCCCTTGCGGTGGCGAAGCCCTCAGCAAACCATGCATAAACCAACTGACGTCATTAAGGGCCTCGGGTTTGGTTTGGAGTTTCAGACTTCGATTTCCTTCGGGTTTAGTGTTCAGATCAGGATACTGAATGTCGTTTCACCCAACAGAGAAAGCTCAAGTTCCAAATGTGATGCCCTAACCTTTAGACCTTCGAGAGTATGGTCGACACGTTTTCATTGGACAGCATAGGTTCTCCAGTACTGTTAGGTTTTCTCGAGCATGGCATAACACATCCCAGACGTTTTTTAGTTGGGTAGCTTTGGGATTGCGTCCTCGCCCAGCCACAGGCAACTTGCCTGAACCTTAACCGCTCCCCCCCCCCCCAAAAAAAAAAAGCGATTCCGGAAACTGGCGCCCAGGCCTTCGTGGAGCGGCTTTGGCAGCAAGGCGTGTTAAGTTTCACGGGCTCAGAAAAGGGGCTAAGGAGTCTCTTATGCCGGTTCCCGCGGTATCCCAGGGCCCAGTATTGCGTAAGCTGTCTATGCCACATCTGTATCGTCAAGATGGGGTATCCTTAGTTTCTAGGGTTGACTGGTAGAGTCGAGAGGCTCACATAGCTTGCCAGGGTTCTACAGGTGTTGCATCAGTAAGCTTTGCAGTGATTTCAATTCCTGCAAGGCCCAGATCCTACATGCTAGCCCTAAGCCCCAACTAACCCTGTAAACCGCACAACCAAGCCCTCAACACAGCCTTACAAAAACTAAATCCTAAAAGCCCTTCGCCCTGTAAAGCCCAAGCACTAACCCGAAACCTTAGCCTTTTGTTAGTCGGACTTTGGGGACACCAGGGTGCTTCCCCAAAGAAGTCCTGGGACCCACGGGAGCCCGAATCCTCAGCCGTAAGCCCTGATACCACAAGGTAGAAAGCCCAAAACGCAAGCTGGCAAAATCTGTACGGGTTTAGCCCTCAAATGCAAGCCCTATATGTGGCACGACACTGCCGTTGTACTCCGTTTATGGTTTGAGATGCGCCAAGCCCTCAGCCCGCAAAACTTATAAGGCATTTGAACTTAAGTTCCCAAATGATTCCTTCGAAGAGCCGTTGGCGCTCGGAGCGGCCGCGCGATGTAACAACAGATTGTGGGCTTAGAGGTGTAGGGTCTTGTGGGTTTAAGGTCATGGGGCCATTGTGGGCGGGGCAGGGGAGGGGGAGGCACAACCGTAAACCCCGTGCCAAAACCTCTAGTGTTACAAATGTTTGTTACCGTGATCATGCGCTGCATGAAGCAACAAGCCACAGACCATGTTGGCTTCTGCTTGCGGCGTCCATTGTGCGGATCCTTCGAGTTCCACGGCCCAACAAAAGCGATTCTGATCTCGGGCAAGAAAGAATGCAGCGTTCATTTTCGACCCCGAGGAAACCCCTGCCTTCTCTAAAGGCCTCGAAGTTAGCATCCTCATGATAGTCCTTGCTGAGGGATGACATGAAAGTTTCGGATTGGCGGTTGTAGTTGCCGATCGCAGGCCTGCAGTATTCGCCTCCTGGCGACGCTTTGCCGGATGTCGGTGCGTCGCTTGTAAGAAGCTTCCGATTGGGCTTCTCGGCTGCTTTCATGCTGCAATCGGTAACCATTAGATTTCTTCGCTGCAACCTTAATCAGCTTTGAACAAAAACTTGAAACATTGGAGGCTGGGGTTCCGGTTTTTCGGTCCCTGGACCTATCGTAAGCCGGAGTCCAGAAACTCTAGGACCAAAAACCATTCAACCGTGAAGCGCCCTGATAAATCCACCGCGCCAGGCTTGCAGTGGCAAGACGCCATGCTGCTTGCCTCAGGAAGATGTCTAAGGCTCCGCTGCCGGATTCGGACTATACTGTAGGTAGAAGGCTGTTTGAGTTGGTGTTGTTTCAAAGCAACCTGAGACTCCAAGTGTGCAAGCGATACTTATGTTGGGCTGTTTCTCCTGTTTTATGGAAGCGAGCGTGGGGCGCCCGATGCACGAGTTCACTCAGATGCCGATGTCAGCGGTTTTCAGCCTTTAAAGATGCTGTCCAAGCGCCCGACTTCTGCTTCGAGTTGATCCGAAAGCAATGATCCCAAAACATTAAGAACCTCTAAAGCCAGAACCCCCTTCCCCTCACTTCGAAGGCCTTGAACCACTGAGCGCACGAAGCCTTCAGCCCTCAACCCAAAGCCCGGCGACCCCCATGCGAACGTTTATAAACCCTTTAAAGCCCGTACCGGAGATGAAACGCAAAGTTCGCTTGGCAGGATAGCTGTTGCGGATGCCGCGACATGGGCAGAAACAACAGGTCTTCCCAAGCCTGTGGAATGAAAAACATCAGGTGGCTAATGAAATATGAGGCGCAATATTCAGCGGAGCCTGTATAGTCCGTAGCTTGACTACTTTAAGACCACACTGTGATTCGTATACTGCGACAGTAGACTGACCGTCTAATTTTGTTAGCCCAAGAGTTTCAACTTGTTTTGGAGTTTGAAGGCTTAGTAATGGAAGTGCAGTCACATAGCTCTTGTCCCAGATGCCCAACAGCTTGATGGAGTCAATACAGGTCAGATAAGGCTGAGCATTTCGAAGTCTCTGGTTGGAGGTTTTAATGCTCCTTGAGGGCTTCGACATACCAATGTGATTCCAGCCAGAACTGATGATCGGTGTGCAAGAAGTGCCTCAACTAGGAAGGATGTAGGTGTTTTGAGGTCTCGTTGGCTTTGCAGAGGTAGATGCAAAGATTGCCAAATGAAGCTGATGATGTTCGACAAGTGCCACCGACAGGGAACACCCTGAATCCTCTGGCAGTATGCATGAACTCCGTTCATCGTGTGCTGAGCAATCAATACTCTCCTCGACAACAGTTTCAAACATATTGTATCCCGCGTGTACCGTTGTTTTAGGGTTTGGGGTTCATCAATGCTGGGCTGAATTTGGCGATGGAGCAGCAGAGCAGCGGTTTTCAAATCCTGAAACGTTGTAGCTGAAGGACGCGTAGTCCGCAGGCTATGGACAGAGGAATTGGCGCTTGTGGTGTTCTGCTTGAACTGATACTGATTCTGATGCTGCCGAGGGCAGGTTCCATTCCGGTGTCTGACGCTGGGAAACATGTTGCGGTCGGGGAATTCTGGGTGCAGGGCTTAGGTTTGGTTAACCATTCGGGGCGGATGGTGACTCATGACTTGTACAAGACGACATGCGAGACCGTCGCTTGGCACTGAAAACACTGACGGATTGGTCCTTCTATGTAATCTTGAGCTTCCCGCTCTGCATGAGGAGTTCGCATTAGGACCCTTGTCTAACAGCCACAAAACACACCACAGACTTCTCGCAAGCCACCGAAGGCACAACATCCCGAAGTCAAGGAATTCATTCAACGGTACAGCTGGGTTTCTAGAGGGTCCTGTGAAGGCAATGTCGGCGCCGGGCTGGAGTGGAAACAGGCGCGTGCGGAATGAAGCCTAGACTGCTAAGTAGCAAACCCCAAACACCTCAACCTCGAGACCGTAAACACCGCATCCGCCCGTCGTCCCAAGGATGCTTTCGAGTTCAGAGACCATAGTATCAATACTATGAGAGTCAAATCTTCACCCTAGGCTGCACGGCTTGAAAACTCCGGCCCTCGCTGTTAGACCCTGAACCCTACCCCGAAGCTCCAAAGGTTGCAAACCCATATCCTCCGGTGTCAAGCCTAAGCATTGAATGCCTTTTTGACATCCACCACAAACCCTAGTAAGCCACTTCTATAGATCCATTTAGGAAGCCCGTCAGCATCTTGAAGGTGGACTGTTGAAGCTTTTCAAAACTGGGCTTGGGAAGCAGGCGTACTCGGGTTTTGTGTGTGTAGTTTGTGGAGGGGGAGGGTAGGCGGGGGAATTGCATCAGACAGCCGAAATTCACTCGCTGGCACACGGAACTTCACCAGACTGGTTCCGGAGGGCGGGGGTTGAGGGGCGAAGCAGGGATCTCTGTCTAAGCTTCGGCCGGCCGAGCTCTGAGGCCTCGTAACTTAGCAGAACAACACCTGAAGCCTAAGGGTTTGTCTGTCGGGCAAGCTCGTCCGTTTGTGCTAGGCCCTATAAACCTCACAGCAAGGGATCACTGGCTCCATCCCGTGGTTTTCCGAATACCGAAGCTGCCCAAGATCCTGCCTCATAGACAGATATCAAAGACCAACCGTTCGTTCCAAACCATGAGGCCCTAAACATCGCTCGGAAGCTGCATCTCGGATTGCCTCCAGGCTCTCAGCGGCCTTTCAGCAATGCCACTTGTGCTCGCTTATGCGGTTCCTGCGGACCTGGGTGCGCCTAAGTGGCTAGGGTCTACAGAATCCTTTCGGTGACGCTCGTCGTCGTCGTCGACGGTGGTGGCGGTGTTGGCATCGTTGTCGCCGTTGTCGTTGTCATTGTTGCTATTGTTGCAGTTGTTGGCAAACCACAGACCGGCCTTATGTAGGTCGCCAGCGAGAGTCAACATTTTCACGACACCAATGTCAAAATTTGCATGCGGCTCATACTGCAAGGATTTAATCTACGTAGATGCTTGCAGTTGTGCCGATCTTCCAACGCATCATTGTTAGGACACCAGATCGGCCCATGCCTGCATCATAACCGTTTCTATAGAGACAGCTGTAGAGATGACAACAATCATAAGTAACAACAGAACGAAGCAAGTGCAGTAGTATTAACGTGTTTATTTTACACCGGAAAACAAGCTTCCTTCTTTCCAGATATAGTAGAATGTGCTACTGCAGATAAGAATCTTGCATCTTCGTAAGCATGTGCAACATTAAGTTCGAACCCGTAAAGGAAACAGATGCGAAATGGTGAACATGTATATAAGACTTGTGGAGTCGCCATCCAAACCGTCGAATGGCTGGGTACACGCCTGATACTAGATACTACTTACCAACAGGTATGCGAATGCATTGCATGGTGATGATGATGAGGATGAGGACGCTTCTGATGATCATCAACAGCAATGCGATGATGCTCATCGCGGTCCGAGTCGTCGTCACGACGATGATGGTTATAATTATCCCACTGGCTGCGACTGAAGCCATGGCTATGATATCTGTTTACTCACACCCCAGGAAGTTAGCGCCTCTGCGTTTTGGGTTGACATTTGGTGATGCACGTGCCGGTCCAAGAACCACGAACCTTGCCGCGTTCGACAGGAAGCCCGAAAACTCAAGCCACGAACCCTAATACCTCAGAACCTTAGCTGCCCTAGATTCCGTGCCAGGAAGTGCCGCGGACTCGAACTCAACGGTGCCATCTTTGGCACTGCGTGAGGGCCCATGGGGCTTGGCCTGGAGAGGGAAGTTTAAGGAAGAAGAGGAGTTTTGGGGTTTGAGGCTGAAGACTTTGCTATAAGGGCTGAGGGCTCAGACTGTGGCTTTCATAGTTGCGGATTCAGGTTTATGGGCTTTTACCTTGGGGGCAGAAGCACGGTTTCGGGGAGTACGGGGCATTAGTGGTCAGTGGCTTGTATGGAGGGTGTTGGTGTTTTACCCTTCTTAAGAGTTTTTGGAGTGAGCCTTGAGGGGTTATGGCCGGGCTAGGCGGCTTTGATTCTGGTTGGTTTCTTCATCCCCGAATTCCGAAATCCTGCAGGGTTTCGGTCCTAGTTTTCAAACCATGCCTTCGCGTTTGGCTTCGGTGCCAGCAGTACATATGTGATGTGGCATTTTCAAGCGCAAACCCAAAGACCGAAAGAGGCCTTAAGTTCCAAACCGCTTCAAGCCATCATTTCTGCCGGGCTTGATCTTCAGCTTCGTTGTACTGGAAGTTCTCCCGATTCCGCATTTGAAACCTAACGTGGCCCTAAAGATAAGCCTTAAACCTGTCAGTACAAGACGGCCACGGCGCCACAACCAGGTCACGGATGCTCATCAGAGAATATATACCCAAGCCATGAACCTCAAACCCAGAAAAGGATCTCCATAAACCACCAAACGCCAAGAATGTATCCACATACACATGTGTGTGTGCCTGTATTTATATATGGACATACATACATACATTCATTTATTCATTCATTCATGCATGCATTCATTCATGTCATTGCAGCATACATGCATGTACACAGCAGGAGCCATCTCAGAATTGAGCTCCAGACAAGCCCAGAGGTTCGCCTCCTTGGCCCAAGACGGACGTTCCTGGAGTGGGTCTTTGCAGCTGCTTCGCCGGATTAGGCGCGCCTTCACGTTTAGGGCCCATGGTTTAGAGTTTAGACGTTGAGAATGTCGGAAGATGTTCGTGTGTTTAACATATATAATTTGAGGAGATCAGCGTCGGAGATTAGGGTTCACAGTCAGGACTTCAAAGTTCAATCTTTGGGACGTGAAAGTTTGGGGCATAGGGTTCGGATTGGACTAATTTCGGCTGGAGCCTGGGTGAGGGTGAGGGGGCGTCAGAGTTTCGAGGTTTGGCCTAATTCTGTAGCACTTCATACGTTCATGCATCAGTGTCCCACATGAAGCATTCTTGGGGGTTTAGGGTTTAGAGTCTATTGCTGAAGTGTGCAGGGTTCGAGGGCTTGGGCCCAAGGTTTGTGGAATCCGGTCTCAAGACATTCCTTTTTCAAAGGTGTCCGAATGGAAAGTACCAGGAGTACTTACGTTGCGGTCTCCCAGATATTGATAGCAGGCCCAGGACCCAGGTTCCTTGATGCAGGCTTCTATGTATGTGTATATATATATATATAAGCATGGCGTCCTTAAGGCTAACATTTTGTTGGGAACGATGGGCTTTCGCACCAGAATTTAAGGGCGTCGGCTCAGTCTCAGGCTGTGACAACCCTCAAAAGTACACCTTTAAAGATTGTAAAGGTCGAAGTTTTGAGGGTCTGGGGTTCATGTCCGGAGCAGAATCTAGCAGCAAGCATCGTCAACGGTAGAGATACGTGCGGCGTTGGTCTGCCCGACTGCTGTTCACTTGAATGTATGTTTGGGTCATATCGGCACTGCCAGCTTCTTGCTATGATTTTGTCCTGAGCCCTTTCTTCGTAGCATGAATACTCATAGTGTTATGTTGAGTAGTGTATGCACAACAGACGACGCGAGCTGACTGCAACCCTCAAACGTTTAAGCCTGAAGCCCCGAAGCAGCCTAATTGAGTGCAGTAAGTCCTGAAAGCGAAGAATCCGATTAATCCTAGTACATCCCTTGAAGCAGTATAGCCTCAGCCTCCAAGCCCCAATTCCCAAGCCCTGATCCTGTCGACCTTGCGGTTCAAGCTTCTCCTCACGGTCGGGGCATTGCCTAGATGCGTATGTTGGTGCTTGGGTTATCGGAACATCAGAAGTTTGAGGATGCGTCCCCCACTTCAACGGAATCTCGTTCCGAGGTTCTGAAAGTTTGCGCTTGATTGGCGGCCTCAACTCGAACTGTGAAGCACCCCGACACCCTTCAAGGCGAAGGCTCAAATACCAGAAAGCCGCAAGCCGGCGAGGCGGGCCTCGCTTCAGCCGAGCTACATGGACTATGCCAAGGTCCTGTCGTCCTGCGCCCGGAGCCGAGCTCCCAAGCGGGACCGGCGGAACCTGGTCTTTCTATATTGGCACCTAAAGAATCGAAGAAGGGATCACTTGGGGAAGTAAGTTTGTGGGTCTTGGGTCTTAGATGTTTAAGGGTGTAGGGCAGTTTAGGGTAATTAGGAGTTTAGAACATCGGCTCGTTGGGGCTCGGTTTGGTTTGGCTCGCGGGTTCTTTAACGTTCATGTTCGTGTTTCGGGTTCGCGTCTTTGGGGAATCTGGCTTTGGCATTTGGTGTTTGGGGCTCTGGGCTTCTTACAGTGGGTTGAGGTGTTAGACAGTGTTAGAACCGTTAGAATTTGGGTTAAACTGTCGGGTCAGTCCATGTTGCGCAAGGGCTGCGGCACGTGTTTGGAGATCTGGGTTTGGTGCATGGTCGGTGGGGGCTTCAGCAAGAACTGCACCTCGTTTGTTTCAGGCTGTTGCGCAAATGCTCCCGTCCTTGCGCCGTAGACGGCTCAACTCGCATATCTGGGTTTGGGATTGTGCCCATCGGAAGTTAGTTTCGGACACCCAGAACTTGAAACCGAAGCAACAGTCGGTGCTGTTGGATGCCGTTGCAGCATCAGCCGTGAACCGGCACCCCTCCATGCAAGATCCTCCATACCATCCTCTTAGTTTTCAGGGTGTGCGGGTTCAGTGTTTCGTGTCTGGGGTTTAGCTTGCTAAGGCTCATCCCTTGAGGTATTTTGGCTGTCTATTTCATCTGGTAATGCTCCCACACACAGTCAGTTTGTTGTTTCTTCTGGCATGGTTTGGGGCCTAGGGTTTAGATGGGCTTAGGGTGCAGCGTGCCCTTGAGACAGGCTCGATCAGCGTGGAGCGAGACATTGTATTTTCTGCAGCTGGCAAAGCAAGAGGCCATGAGCAATGAGATTTTGGTCCGAGATTTGGATTCGGAGTTTCAGGTTAGGGTTCAACGATTCGGAAGTGTGTAGTTGTGTTGTTTGTACCCTGACAGCTTCGTTAGTTTCGGGTAATTATGTATTTTTTGCACCGGCCGACGGAACAGGTCAAGACACAAGCAACAGGCTGCTGTCCTAGAAGGGAACCCTTAAACCCAAAAGCCCTGGAGCTTCAGGACATCATCCTCAACGACATTGCCGCTGCAGCCGCGCTTAACGCAGCTGGGCACCGAAAGAACAACGACAATATCACAGGGCATGACACAGGAGCTTCACCGTGTAGTGTAGGTCGCTGTTCCTTTTGGGATTATGGGTTTTAGGTTCCTTCGATTTGGACGTCACACACGGCAATCTGTAGTCTCATGTCATTGTGGAGACGATGTCAGACTGCTATGCTGCTATGTCGCTCAAGACTGAAGTTACAGGTCTTTACCTTCAGGATTTTGGGGGCACTGAAGCTTTCTTTAAGCCCTCCAGGCCCCTTAATGAATACCATCAACTACAAACTCCGTCAGATCCGAAATCAAGCGGTACAAAACCTTGAGCCCGAAACTGATGCAAGACAAGGCGTTCTGTCGCCAATTTCGGCCATGGCAATGGGCATGGCACTTAAGTTCGGTTACTGGTGCCAGAGGGATTTCAAGTTTTCATCAGAGGAATTTGGAGTGTCACAAGTAACAGCATTTGCGGTGGGCTTACTCGTGGGCTTAGGGCTCACGCGTTTCAGGTTTCAGGGTCGGTTGCGGAGGGTTTGGGGTTGTTGGCATTTCTAGTACATGTCCATGATGGCTGTTTGCAGAAGGCTTGGGTGCTTCAGTACAGCCCATTGCACTCAACTATAAAAGGTTCAAGAACCCGTTTGTGGTTGAGGGCTTTTAGGAACTCGCAAGCAGTCGACCTAGAAGCCCTCAGCGACTGCTCTTGTGCATATAACTTGGACCCTTGGGTTTAGGTTTTGGGGTTCGGCTATGTTCAAACCTAGTTTCAAACCTATGCTCCTTACACCCTGTTCACCATATCCCCTATAATGCCTACAATCCCAAGCCCTCAACGAGAGGTTGTTAACGCTAGCGGCTAAAGCCGACACTGCTACATCTGCAATCCGTCAACACAAAACCCCGGATCCTGAACTACTCCGTATATGCTTGGCTCGCCTAGGCCTGCTGCGCCCTATCTGCAATACGCAGATGGCAGATACCGTGACGGCCTCGGGAATTTAGGACAAAGGCCGCGACCTGAAACCCTACCTTGCCCCGAAAATCCCAAACCTGATGGCAGGCCTCATCAGCTCCGGGGCTTCAGTTTTTGTTGCAATCCAAATGGGGTATAGGGTCCTCCCAGACTCTAAAGCCCCAAGGCCGTAATCGCAAATTGAGACTTCGGAAGCACAGCACCACCATCGAGCGAAAGCTACAGCTGTAGAGGCCCTTAGAATGTCTATCGCAAAAAGGACCCTAAACACCAGTTAACAAGATGTCACACATCACACCCCTAGCTTTTAATCTCTCAAAAACCCACAGACGCACAACGGAATACCCTTTAAAATCCTTTCAGGGTTAGCCAGCTCTGAGGATCTCGAGTTGCACCTACAATTCTGCTGTGGGTGTCTTCTCCAAGCGGCCAAAGCTCTGGAGAGAGGCCCGGTAAAACGGGGACGGGGGGGGGGGGGGGGNNGGGGGGGGGGGGGGGGGGGGGTTCCCGGATTTGTGTTGGGATTCGGACCTAGGAACTAGAAACACCATGAAGTGCGCGAGAACGTGGAGCATGCTCGCGAGTAGATGTAGCCTGGCCTGAATTAAGCAGCTAAGCCCTCCGCCCCGAGCCCATAAACCCGATGTAAACTCTAAAGCCCTGTGCAGCAATGCCAGGTACTGGAAATTGAGACGCAGGTGGCGAAAGCCGAGTTTTACCCGGATGCTGGTGCCCGTTGCTGCCTCATAAAGCTTCATAGCGACCAGTTGGATGGCCCAAGACATCCAATGATCTTCGCTTTTCAGCGGAGAAAATCCTGCCAACCCCATAAAGCTCTACACTAAAGCAACATCAAAGGCCACGTAAACATACTGTAACATACTGGAGAAATCCTATCTTGACTGTAAGAAGTAAGAACCCTCTGGAACCTTGACTCGAGCTGTATTCGAGTCCTCCGAACCCCTAACCAAAACGTTGCTACAAGGGCTCTGCCACACAAAAGACCCTAAGCGAGCCTTATAGATTCCTGCAGCGCTATAAATCCTCAGGAGAGCCAAAAAGAGCCCCCACAAAAGGCAGAGCTTTACACGAGCCTATCAGCTCCCAGGCCCAGGCCCTGGGCCAAAATCGACGGCCGCCAAGAGAAGTGATAAGCCGACTCTTAAGCCCGAATCGCAAAGCCCTGCAGGCTTGTAACACTCATAAGACGCATAAGCCAAACCGTAAATGCAGTAAACACTAAAAGCTTTGTCAGAGCCCAGTATAATCTAAACCCTGAAGCCTTAGTCTTGAAACTCTAATCCCAGAAGCATTGCCAAGCATGAAAGGCCCTTAGAGTCCTGCAGGACCCTATGATGGCCCGCTAAAATCCTTCGAGGCGTCTAACAGCCTTTCTCCAGCTGAACCCTACAAGCCTCAAATCGCCACGACAAAGGTTGCTGTAACAAGCATTGAAATGCTTGAACTGATGGACAAACACGCAAAAGCCATTTCAGAGACCCTACAAAAACCCTTGTCAACCTTGTTTTGTGAGCCCTACAACACTCGTACGGTAAGGTTTTTCGAAGAGCCAAAGCAGAGGCCAAGCCTTCCGAGTTGCGCGAATTCGGCGGAGAGCCGAAGTTGGTCCCTCAAAGCACAGGGCATGCGTAGCAGAGGGGCTTCAATCATCAACGGAATCTGGTTTCGAGGGATAGTATACTTTCATTGTTTGAGAGGAACTCTAAGGTAGATATTATAATATATACTCTTCTGACGAAGTTTTATTTTGAACAGGTGTTTCTGCAAGGGTGCTGCCTCGAAGTAGGGCTTGTACAGGTTTCCTTAGTCGTTTCCTATAGGAAGGATTTCTGCAAGTTAGTGGCCTCAAAGTACGGCTCTTTGGATTTGCGCTTAAACTTGGGGAGCTGTCGAGACTGTAAGTCGTTTTCCTTGTAGAAGGGGGACTCAGAATTTACGTCATGAGCCTGACTCCTATCAGGGCAACGGCACATGAAAACAGTCGCACGTGTAAGGCGCAAGCCGCTGCCCACGAGGACAGCTCCGTGGAACATTCTTTGGGTACGCGTTCGTAGCCTATGCTGCACTGTATCATCAGCTTTCCTACGGCGTTGGTCGGGATTCGTATTGACAGGGCAGGGTTTATGGATGTGCTTGGATACGGACTTGAATGATAATGGAGTGTGTTGTCGGGTAGATGTTGGGAGGCACAGCATTGCCGGCATTTGGCATTTGTGTGATCGGCGATTATCGGGTTTTGGGGCGATGTGAAACATTCGTGCGTGCGTGCGTGCATGATGCTTTTGGGCGTGTATGCATGCATGAATGTGTCTGTGTGTATGTGTAAGTATGTATGCACGTACGCACATATGCACGTATGTATGCATGTACCTGTGTATGTATGTATGAATGTATGTA